GGCGGGGTCGCAGCTGCTTCTGGAAGGCACCGAGATGTACCTTTTTCGCGCAATGGTCAAAATCAAGGTTTTGTAACGCGAGCTGTGCCACAGTGAAATGGAACTAGCCCCTCAGGGTTACACCACAGCCGTACAGACGGCTTTTACCGTGTGTGCCAGGTGTGCACAGTACGTGTACATACGGTCCCCCCACGCCCCTTCCAGGGCCAGTCAGGGCACAGGCCACAGCACTCAGCAGCAAGAGCGAAAAGACTAAAGAGGGGGTGCTGGCCCCCCCCCCGGCGCCCCCGCATCAAATCAAGAGGGAGGTGTTGTGCGACGCCGTTCCTCGCTCTGACGGAGGGCTCTGGAGTCCTTGAAGTCCGCCAACGCGGTCTGGGCAGCTGGTTCGAAGGGAAGAGCTGGACGCGAAGGAGTATCCTTTTCTGGAGGCCATCGTGCCTGCAGCGTCGCACAGCAACGCGGGATAGTCGAGGAGATCTGGGTCAACGTCGGGACCGAAGCGCTGCTGCTCCCGCCGCCGCTTGACCCGTGGAGTTGACCTCCGCTGCCTCGTGCTACTCGCGCGGCGACCAGTCGCGACGAGAATCACAAGAAGAAGCGCCACGGCCGCCGCGCACGCGACCAACTGCGCGTGCGATCGCTGAGGGGCGCGCACTGCACGGCCGCCCTGGCCGTCCCGTGCGTCCGCAAGCCGTGGCTTCCTCGCCGGCGCTAACCTCTCTGGGTGAGACGCCCCGTCCGCGCCCGCCACCTGCGAGGTCGCATCGTCGTGCCCCACGACGAGAAGTACGCAGTCCCCGGGCGGCACGGTCGCATGCGAGAGCTCATGTTGCGGCCTCCGCCGGCGAGAAAAGGCGAAACGCGCCCACGCGCCCGCCTGAAGGTCGCTCGTCCCGCCCTCATCAAAGATAGACGCTTGCGCAAGCGGACGCGTTCGAAGCGCGTGCCACGGGATCTCGGCCGTCGCCGGGCGCTCGTCGTGGTTGATCAGCAGCAGCACCGCCGACACTCCGTCCGTGGAGCGGCGCACCCAGCCCTCCAGCCGCACGTGCACAGCGAAGCGCGAGCCATGCGCCCGCGCGGGCACATCAATGCGCTCCGGCCGAACCCCGCCGTTCGCCGTCTGTACCGCCAGCGCGAGCGGGTCTGTCACGATGTTGAGCATGTCTCCTTGCATACGGTGGGGCGGCACGGAGAGCACAAGTGGCGCGCCGCGGATGCAGGCGAGGGCAAAGTGCGAGCGGAACTCGCTGGGGTGGACCTCGAGGGGCGGCCCAAAGGGAAGCGCGCTCGACGCCATGTGCGTCCGGTTGAGTCGCGGCGGCAGGTGCGTGCGCGGGTCATTCCAACCGCCGAGGCCTGAGAGGCTCGCCAAGCGCTGGAGGTAGAGCTGCGCGCACGAGCCCGGAGCCTCGGCTGGCAGCCCCCCCCCGCGCGCTTGCGCGTCGCTCAGCGCACCGCGCCGCCTCCGCGTGTCCAGTCGCAGCGAGCGGTCCGCGCCAATCATCACAAAATCCGAGGAGGAGGACGCGCCTGGATCGTCAATCACGGCCGCCGCAAACAGCAGGCTCATGCCACGCTCCGCAAAGTAGCGTGCGATGGCCTCCCGGTGTGACGGGTGCTGGAGCAGGCGGCACGCTGGCATCGCGAGCAGCGAGAAGCCAGCTTCGACCAGGCCTGAGCTGGCCATGGTGTCTGCCGCGTCGAGCAATGCCTCGGTTGCAACCTGCAGCGCGTCAGTGTTGGTGGGGCAGCGCTGGTCCCACCAGACACCGCGCACAGTGTCCTGGGCGCACGCCATCCCCGCCCCGATGGAGCAGGGGCGTGAGCTGCAGGCGCGCTCGCGCGCGGCGTGCTTTGCCGCCGCCCCCAGCAGAGGCGCGCAATGTGCTAGGTCGCCTTCGCTCAATGCTCGACAATGCGCTTGCGTTTCACTAAGAGCTTTTTTGGAGAATTCAACATAAGCCACTCTCGGCGAGATCACAGACCACACACGAACGAGACGGAGACTACTCGAGTACGCCGGAGGGGGCTCAGGGAGAGGAGACGACACAGAGGAGGAAGGGAGGGCCGCGAGGTGGAGCATCGGCATAAAAGCTAAGTAGGAGGGGTCGGCTTGCTTGTGCTTGCTTGTTTGTCGTCTCGTCAATCAACAGGGACGTCGTCCCGCCCGCCCGTCCGTCCGGCTGTGCTGTGAACAGACGGCTACCACACATCGCACTCCAGCTCAAGTCTATAGCAGCTGCCGTACGGCTAATGCTCGAAATTTACGCAGCCAGCCTTCGACCAGCGTGGCGAAGCGGTTCCTTTCGCCCGCCAACTTTCAATGAATCCGGTGCCATCCACCTTCGGCACACGCCTCCACACCCTTCAAGTGCACGCCATGAAGATGCGCTCGGTTCTTCTCGCCTCGTCCGTGGCCACGGCGACGGCCGCGACGCCACAGGCGCGCAAACCCTGCAATACCCTGCTGTGCCGCTGTCGCCAGCCGTGCCCCCATCTCCCGCCCTCGCCGAGCCCGACGCCGCCCTCGCCGCCTCGCCGCCCTCCCGCCCTCGCCGAGCCTACCACCATCCAGTCACGCGTAGGCGACGGTGGAGGCGGCGAGGGAGCCGCCGCACAGTCAGGGGCGAACTTTGAGTGCGGCGCAAATCAAGGTGCGCCGCTGACTGTGCGCTTGCGGCGCCATCATCCGCGTCCCACCCGCCACCTCCCCGCGCCGCCAGGCCTACCTCCCGTGCTACCAATTCCTCGTGACTGGCGTGACGGATATCATTATGCAGTGGAATCCGTTCGCCGGCCAGTACGGGCAGTACGAGGTGCAGGGCTGCGAGGGCGTCTCGCCGCAGCTGTACCTCAGGGAGAGCGTCGAGTACACCTTCTATCAGAATGATGTCTCCAACTGATGTCTGAGCCGCCGACCCCCCCCCCCCCCACACAACACAGCACCACATCGCTCCTGATACCCACCCTCTCCCCGCCGCCTTTCCGCAGGTACCACCCGGTCGGTTTCGCCATCGAGGCTGGCGGCGCCCACGCCCAGTGCCCCCCCCTTTCGGGAAACGAGTGCCCTGAGGTGGAGGGGCGGGAGTACCTGCAGTACTTCGTCAACACCGCCCCGGCCTGGAACTCCGCCGACCCCAACGACTTCGGCCTGGACAGCTACGAGCCCCTCTTCTTCAACTCGAGAGACCACTGGAGTCAGGTCAATTACCACGCGAAGCTCCTCGTCCCGGCGAACGGTGCAAAAAGGCCCTGCCCCCGTTTTGCCCCCCCCCCCCCCCTTCACCCTCCCCCAAACACCCCCCCCCGCGCGCCCCCCGCCCCCCGCCCCCCCCCAAACCGCCCCGCACAGGGTGCTTCGACGGCGCTTGCTACAAGAAGATCTTCTACTTCTGTGCCACATCCACAACCACATGAACGGAGAGATCATCATCGTGAGCGACTCGTTAACGTACTCGCCCCCAGCTCAGCCTGCGCTGACGGCTGACGGCTACGCGTGCGCTGGCGCTATGGGGGGCTGTACCGACCAACTCTACGACGTCAACTTTGAGAAAATCACTCTCCCGAGCTCCTTCGACCTCGGCTGCGGCACGTGGGACTCGGAGCCCTACTCGAACGACCACGGCTCGTGCACGGGCAAGAAGTTCCTCTGCGGCGCCGGTGACGCCGCGGCCGACGAGTGCAGCCGCGTCGCCACCGGCGGCGCTTTCAGGCGTGCACGCTGCTGTGAATAGGCGCCCAAACGTCGTTCTCGCAGTGCCTCGAGGTGTTCGCCCGATCGTCGCGGTGCATACGTGGCCTCACTTGACTGTCCGTGTGTTCAAGACATGCGGTTTTGGCCGGTGGCCTCCTCGGACACATTTCACTGTGGCACAGCTCGCGTTACAAAAGCTTGATTTGACCATTTGCGCAAAAGGTACATGTCGGTGCCTTCCAGAGGCAGCTTGACTGTCCGTGTGTAGGCCGCCGATTGCCAGATGCACCACGAGATGGCGACCCAGATCGAAGCGAACGACGGTATATCCCCCGCACTTGCTGCCACAGCCCGGGATGAGGAAGGTCGGAGGGGAAGGCCTCGTCTCCTTCTCGCTTTCGTAGGCCCTCTGGTCTCGTTCGCCAAGCAGATGATTCCGCACCACGCGAACGCGGTGGCGCAGGCCAAATCGCTCATGAAGTACATGACGAACCAGGAGGTGGCAGGGCTCGGCCTCGATTACGACGAGTACTACGCCCTCGCGCAAGAGATTGTGCGCCTTGAAACACAGCCGTTTGCACCGCTCCGATTCGCCGACTGCACCCTTCTCCTCCATGGGCTCGATCCGATTCCGCAGCGTGTCGTCCTCAGCGGCGGTGCTGCGCGGGAGGCGGCCGCGGGCACGCTGGGCTCGATCAGCGGCTTTCCCTCAGTTGCTCAGGAAAGCACGGATTTGGCGGACGTCGCGGCTTCAATTTTACGATGTCTTGGCACCAGCGAAGGCTTGCCCGGCCCAGATCACGCAGTTCGCGCACGGTATTCGGATTTTGCTATTTGTTCGTGTGGGGGTATATCGCAGATTTGTCAATGGTACCGCGTCTGCGACGCGGCGCCTTGCGGGCAGAGCCCTTAGCCACCCTTTATATCTTGCGCGGTCAAGAATTTTAGTATGGCAAAAAGAATGAATTTCATGCGGGGTGCGGTGCGGTGCGTGCAATCGTGTGTTTGGCGTCATGTTGAAAAAAATCAACGACAATGCGGCGGGTCTGTCGTGCAGCAGGTGAGATTCTGCGGTCTATGTTCGCCGTTCTCGCCCTCGTGCCGGCGGCACCGGCGGCACCGGCGGTGACTGAGCCGTGCGTCTGTGCTTTGAATTGGACGTATCCAGACAGCGGCCAGGCTTGCAGCGAGACGCAGTTCGGTTGCCCGCCGGTCGCGTGCGACGGACCGTACCCACCGTGGTGCGTCGTCGAGTCGCTGCCGTGCACCGACCCTGACCCTGATTCAGGCATCAACACTGGCTTGTACGGCGGTGATTGGATTAATTGCAAGCCGGAGTATTCGCCACCGCCGCCGCCGATGCCACCCTTTTCTGTTTTTCGCATCGGCGCCCTCTTGCCGCGGCAGCTGCCAAGCGGCGAGTTGATGCACCTGGGTCGGGCAGAGGACCTGACGTCCGTGCTCATGGCAATCGAGGAGATAAACAACAAAACTGACGGCGTGGCGGACGACCTGCTTCCAAACACGAAGCTTTTGCTCGCGCACCGCGACTCGCGCTGCGACGCGGAGTTCAGCTTCGACGCGGCGTACGAGCTGCTCCGTCGCGCCTTTGGTGGGGCGGGCGTTCACGCGCTTATCGGTGCATTCTGCTCGAGCGCGTCGATCTCCGCTGCGAGGCTGGCGGCGCTGGCGGACACGCCGCAAGTCTCACATGCGTCCACGAGCTCAGAACTGAGCGGCGACGACTTTCCCTTTTTCGCGCGGGTTTCCACCTCTGGTTCCCTCATGGCTATGGGTTTGGCTGAGGCCACTCGAAACCTCCTCGGCGTCAAGCGCGTGGCCACCATTGCGTGCACGGACGCATATTGCACCGCCAGCATGGCGGCCTTTGAGGCGGCCGCATCTGCTCAAGGAGTCACCCTCATTGAGTCTGTCAGCTTCGAAAACGGTCAGAGCAACCTCGGCGAGCCCCTCGCTGCTCTGCGCGCCTCGCGTGCGACCGTCTTCGTCACCATTGCTCAGCCAGAAGATGCAGATCGCCTTTTGGAGCAAGCCCTCGGTGCACGGCTCGTCGGCCCTGAATTCACCTGGGTTGGCTTGATCGGTCTATTCGAAGGGCTGGGCTCGCTGGCCGGCCGTGGCCTACCCGTGGACGATTTCCGCGGAATGCTCGCGATCACAAACTCAATCGTGCCAAGCGTGGCGTACGACGGCTACGCCTCCCGCAAGCGCGCGCGGCCATCCACGCTCGGCGACGGGACAAATTGCGACCCGGCAGAGGACGACGAGGGGCACAAACTCTGGTCAGTTGATACCGATGAGGATACCATGGCGCCACGCTGCTTCGGTGCCAACAATCAGTTTCCCGAGAGCGCCTACGCCCCGAGAGCTTACGACGCTGTGTACGCTGTGGCGCACGCAGTCCAAGCGCTGGTGGACGACCCGCACGTTCAGCATGTTGACGGCGACGCGCTGATGGCGGCCCTTCTCTCCGTCCAGTTCGAGGGCGTGACGGGCAACATCTCCTTCTCGTCCGAGCCGGCCACCCTCGGCGACCGCGCGGATGGCGTCCTTTACGACGTAATGAACGCGAACGCATCCGGCGCGTGGGTCAAGCTGGGCACCTGGCAGCCGGCCGACAACTGGGAGCAGAGCTTTGCCGGCAACGGTCAGGCGCTGACGAGGCCAACGCCCGACAACAGCAAGCCGCCACAGCTCGTGGGCGATACGCTGCGCGTCGGAGTCTTTTGTAATAAATCGCCAAGGTTCTTCCTATACGAGCAATGCCAGCATGTGATGCACATCATTGACCGCATCAATGACAAGAAGGACGGCTTCCTCGACGACTTACTTCCGGATCACAGGCTCTTCTACTCTATGGTTCAGATATGGGAAGGCTGTTCCGAGACTGAGGCCATTCGAAGCCAGTTCGAGCAGCTGGATTCCGACTTGAATGGAGTGGTCGCCACCATCGGCCCGTTCTGTTCGGATAACGTGGCCGCTGTGACAGCCACCGAGTGGCGCGCTGGACCCGACATCTCTACCGTCGTGCTCTCGCCGTCGTCGACGGCTCCGATCTTGGCGAACGTGGGCGCATACCCGAACCTGTTGCGCCTCTCGAGCAACGACAAGCACGTCACGTCTGCCCTTGCCGCACTCGCAGAGCGGCTGAGATGGCAAGCCATTTGCGTGCTCCATGACGACAGTCTATGGGGACGCGGGGTCATGCAGTCTTTCACCTCAGCCTTTGAGAGCTCGGGTGGGAAAATCGTAAACAATGGCACGGCGGAATTTTCCAAGGCAGCTTTTGACGGCGGCAAGTTGACAGGGAGCGACCTGCTCGACCAGCTCGAAGACTGTTCTTCGCAAATCATCCTCCTTGTCGCCTACCCGGATGCGCAGCGGGCTGTGTTCGCTGCCGCCTACGACGAACGTCGGCTTTGGGGGCTGGGCTACGGTTGGCTCAACGCGTATCCGACTGAGTTGGCCCTCTACAATGAAGATGGGTCGGTGAACTCGTCCGCTGTGCATGGCTCGGAAGGGGTTCTCGGAGTCATCGAGTCATCCGGCGTAAGCAGCGCCTCCGACCTCAGCCTAAATTATCAGGCGCTGTGGGGTGAGGTGTCGAGCAGTCGAGGCTGCACCAACATGAGCCCGCACTCCCGACCCTTCTGCGACCACGACGACGACGCCTGGACGCTTCCCGATTACACGGCATTGTACGTGGATGCAGTGCTCAAGCTCGCAGTGTCTGCCGATGCTGCGATCCGCAACGGCTCACGGCCAGGAGACGCAGATGCGCTGTACGCGACGATGCTGGCGGCTGACACCGTGACGGGGCTGAGCGGCCCTCTTGTTTTCGACGCCAGCGGAGATCGACTCGGCACCTTGAAGGTGCTCAACTACCGGCTGCTCACCGAAGCTTCTCAGTCGGGGCGCCGACTTAGCTCAGTACTTCTGCCGAGCTCGTTGCTTGAGTTCTCAATCGTGGGCATCTACTCTACCGCAACCTCGACGTTGCAGCTGCCAGACGTTGGCGCTCTCGTCTTCTCCGGGGGATCGACGGAGGTGCCACAGCACTCCTCCCCTCCTCCGCCGCCTCCGCCGCCTCCGCCGCCATCACCTCCTCCTGAGCTGCCGTTGAGCTCCGGAGTACTCGTCGTGATCGTCTTGCTTTCGGCCCTGACCCCCGTCGTCGTGGTTTGGGTCGCCGTTCGAGAGTGGCGCCGTCGGCGGGAGCGCGAGCACGAACGGACAAGACAGCAGTGGCTGAGATATCTCTCAACGGGACAGCCCGTGCAGCTGGAGCCGCTCACAAACGGCAACAAGTACCATCTGTTTCTTTCCCATTCGTGGCTTTCCGGACAGGATGCTGTCCGAGTGATGAAGGAACGGCTGCTAAATCTGTTGCCGGACACGAAGATCTTTCTCGACGTGGACGACTTGGCGTCCGGGCGAGGCGCAGCCGAGGTTGCTGCGTCGGAGATTCTCATCGTCTTTTTGTCGGACGGCTACCTCACGCGCCCCAACACCGTGCGCGAACTGCTTCGGGCGATGACTCTGCAAAAAATCATCATCACCGTCTACGATGAGCGCAGCGTCTACATGGACAAAGATGTGCTCGGAGCAGCGATCGACGCAGCTTGCCTGAACCTTTCGAGGTGGGCTCTCGACGGCGACTTGGCGGCCTGGGGCGCAGAGGTCCCGACCACGGCCGACATCTTTGCTGCACTGACAGCCCGGCCTCTGCTGTGGACTCGTGTTCCAGCTTTCATGAACGTCACTTTGCAGGCGTGCGTGACACCGCTGGTTCAGCCCAAGGCGCCCATCTTGCAATCTGTCCCGTCTTGGGCGCAGAAGGGGCTTGGTCGCGCAGACGGGAAAGCGAGTCTCTCCCCGGAGGTGCTCGAGCGCGCAATCGAGATGATGCAGATTGCTGCTGAGCCTGGCGAGGCGGCTTCGATGAGCCTGTACACGCGAGCCGGCATTGGCTTCACCTGGCAGAGGCTCCGCGCTGGAGAGAGGTTTCGACTCTACGCCAGCCCACACAACCCCGGCGCGCTCGAGCTCACCCAGGAGCTGTCTTGCCTGCTGCGGCACCTCGACATAGAGCTCGAAGTGACGACCTCCGTCGCCGACCTCACGGCCTGCAGCCACATGCTGCTGTACCTCGACAAGCGCACCTGGACGGAGAATGACCAGCGGATAGCTGCGCTCTCGAGCGACGTGAAGGCCGCCCTGGCCAAGCGCGTCCACCTGCTTCTGGTTCACGAGAGCGAGCCGTTTGAGTACATGGAGGGCAGCCACGCCGGCGTCAAGTTCGACGACCTCTTCGACTGCGTGGATGGCGCGACCCCCATCGAGCTGCTTCAGCGAAAGGTGAGTCCCCGCGCTCGCTGCATCAATCGGCGCGTAGCACAGTGCCGTCGACTCACCTCCACCTCTGTCTCGCTCAGGTCTACTCGGAGGTTGCGGTGCCGCTCAAAGAAGGCATCTATCGGCCCGCAAGCCTGCTGCTGCTCGCACGCGCTGTCGGCGACCAGACGCGGGCTTCGGCGCTGCGGCAGCTCACTTCTTCCTCCAAAGAGCTGCGCCTGCCCTCTACGACTTTTGCGGAGGGCAGAGCGAGTCTGATGAGCCGGAGCAAACATGACCGCTTGAGCCTGTAGGTAGAGCACACCACACGGAGCGACGGAGGAGGGCGCTCCCTCCTGTCTGAGGGTTGGTCCGGACCTGCCCGGCATTTGGGCACCACTTTGCCCACTCTGCAGTCGTTCGTTGGACGTTGCCAAGGCCTGCTAGCATCTTTGGTACGACTGTGAGCGCAGCCGCGTCGTTCTTTGTCGTCCTAGAGATAAAATGTACAATTGCAATTATGTAGTAGCTACGGCTTTAGTAGAGAGCCGTACTGCTCGCATGAACACGATGAATTGCCTTCAAAGTAACATAAAGAGACGAAGGCGCTCGCACTGCTCACACTCGAAACGCCGCGATCGCGGTGTCGGCAGCGTGACGAAGCGGAAGCCGCCCACAAAACACGCAAGCACACACACAGGCACATACACACAGGCGTCTCCATAGGTGTGCTATCAGCAGCCAGACCTGGCCCATCTCTCAAACGTCCAGCCTCCCCCCCCGCCCCTGCCCCGCGCTACCCCCCCCCCCCCCTCCTTCCGTGCGCCGCCCTGCTGGCACACGCACCCCCTCCCCGGCGCCCGCGCGTCCGGAGGGCAACTGCGGCGCGTCGACGAAGCTGCGAGATTCCGCGAGATTTGCCCCGCGACTCTACCGGAGGACGAACTGCGACGTGTCGACGAGGCACGCCGCCTGGACGGCCGCCGGAGTCAGCGGCGCATCGACGTGGAGCGGGGGCTGCTTGGACGCGTCTCCCGCGTCGGCGCGCGCCGCGAGGATCGCGGCGCGTGCGGCGAGGAAGGCGGCGGCGGCGAGCGCCATCGGCGGCTCCGCAGACGCCTTGGAGTGCAGCGTCGCGCCCGGGGCCGGGTTGGGCGCGCGCGGCAGGAAGGAGACGTTGAGCTCGAGGGGGATGTCGTGCACAGCCGGCACCTGTGCTCCCCCGTGCCGGGCGTAGGGGAGCGTCTCGGAGGCGTCTCGGAGGCGTCTCGGAGGTGTCTCGGAGGTGTCTCGGAGGTGTCTCGGAGGTGTCTCGGAGGTGTCTCGGAGGTGTCTCGGAGGTGTCTCGGAGGTGTCTCGGAGGTGTCTCGGAGGTGTCTCGGAGGTGTCTCGGAGGTGTCTCGGAGGTGTCTCGGAGGCGCACCTTGTACTCCCACGTGCCGAGCGTCGTCGGCGCGCCGCTCGGCGAGTGGGAGACGACCTCGGGGAAGAAAGAGCGACGCCGGTTAGTGAAAGGGAATGGAGAGGGATCGCTCGGCGGGCGGAGACGACCTCAGAGAAGAAGAGGCCGAGCGCCATGACGAAGCCCCCCTCGACCTGCCCGAGGTCGATCTCAGGGTTGAGGGGGGTCCCCTGGTCCATCAGCAGGTCGGCGCGCAAGATGCACGTCTCGCCAGACAGCGCGTCGATCTCGACCTCGCAGATTAATTAGCACGAATCAGCACTACTCGGCACTGGGTCGCCGGCGGCGGGTCACGCTCTCCGCCTCGCAGCACGCCACGCCCGAGGTGGCGTAGTCGAACTTGGGCACCCCCTCGGGCGCGGCCCCGCCGAACCAGCCGCACAGACGATCTCAGCATTGTGCTGGAGGGTCTGCTCAACGAACTCGGGATAGCCGACCTCAGTACGTTCGAGGCTGTGCTCTTGCACGATACAGGCGCGGTGCTCGACGCGATCCGAAGCACCGCTGCAGCCGCAGAGGCTGGTGGCGTGCGGCGGCTTATGCCAGCTCAGCCACGAGCAATGTTGTTGTGTCCCCAAGCAGCACTGCTACCGCTGGCGTAATCTCTGTGCAGCACAAGGGCAGCTTCTCCCGCACTCTCGTCAGCACAGACACGCAAACCACGCTAAGGGGCTCGGACATCCATGCAGCCGCGAGTGCTGAGATGCTGCTTCGGCAGGAGTTGGAAGAGAAGTTGCGGTCACGGTTAAGGAGCTTCTGAGCAGCGCTCTGCGAGCGCTGTGAAGAGGGCGCTCGCGTCGGCGCGGGATGAGCTTGCTGCGGCACAAGAGCTGAGGCGCTCCGACAGCGACAACCTGAGGACAGCGCAGCAGGCTGCTAAACGCGACATCAAAGCGGCCGAGCGGATGGCCGACGAGGTAAAACACGCAGCTCGAACTGAGTGCGAGTGGCGTATCGGCGAGATGCGTGCCCAGATGCAGGCTGAGCTGCGCGAGCAGCTCGACGCGCTGCAGATTTCGATGGAGGCAGAGGCGAGGCGCGCTGATGCCGCAGCGAGGCGGAGAGCTAGGCGGAGAGGTCAAGGCGCTGCACAACAAGATGGAGGGGATTATGCACACGCGTGAGGGGTTGATAGTCGCAGAGGCGCAGCTCGGCAAGCACGAATATAGTGATTGTTAAGAAACACATACGGAGCTTTGCGGTCGTTGACCCTCCCACTGTGAGCCTGGGCCGCCCGGACCCCAGAGCTGCTTGCCTCTGCTGCGCGTGCAGAGCACAGCGTTGCGCGAGCGTTGGAGAGGCCAGCCTCCGGCTTCTCAGCGTGTCGCGAGTGCTGTGTCTCTATCTGCCATTCTGCCTGGTGGATGGGTGTGGTGGGGGACTCCTGGTGGCGTTTTGGTTACAAATTTACGGACTTACGGATCGACCCCCCTCCCTCCCCGTCCCGGCCGCGGCCCGGCCGTGAGCACGTGTGAGCGACGCCGATCGCTACGAATCAAGTTGGTGCCGGACAGGCGAAAGGGAAAGCGAGACGAAATTTTCAAAACACAAAAAGAGAAATCACTGGTGGCAGTCCAAGTGCTTCAAGCACCAAGGCCGTCATCGCCGAACGGCGGAACCAAGGCCGTCATCGCCGAACGGCGGAGACGAGAAGGGGAGGGAGTGGAGGAGGGAGCAGATCGGGAGGGGGGGGGGGCAAAGGTGGAGGGAGGAGGTCACACACGGACTAGATCAGTCAAGATGCAATGGAGAGACAGGGGCTATCCAACGACAGTGCCCAGCGAGGTGGACTGCTCCCTATACCGTCTCGCCTGTGACGGCGAAGCCCAAGACGCGAGCGCTGAAGTTGACCGCTGCGATAGTAGTAGTAGTTGAGCTGGTGCCGCTCGTGGATCTCGCAGAGCGAGCGGGCGAGGAGCGCCGCCCGCGCGCAAGCCGCCACGGGGAAGAGCGCCGCCGCCTCGCAGAAGGGCGTAGCGGCGCGGGAGGCGCCGTAGGAGGAGAGGAGCTTGGCGCACTCGATGTGACCCTCCTGGCACGCGATGCACAGCGGCGTGGAGCCGTCGTTGCGGGCTTGGTTCATCGCTGCGCCGGCCTCGAGAAGCAGCCGGGCGCACTCGAGGCGGCCCTCCTGGCATGCGATGAACAACGGCGTGGCGCCATTCTGCTTGGCTTGATTGACCGCCGCGCCGGCCTTGAGAAGCAGCCGGGCGCACTCGAGCTGGTCCTCCTGGCACGCGATGAACAGAGGCGTGGCGCCACCGTCCTTGGCTTGGTTGACCGCCGCGCCAGCCTTGAGGAGCAGCCTGGCGACGTCGAGGTGGCCCCTGTGGCACGTGATGACCAGCGGCGTGCAGCCGTCGATAGTTGCTTGGCCGACCGCCGCGCCAGCCTCGAGGAGCAGCCGGGCGCACGCGACGTGGCCCTTCTGGCAAGCCATGTACAGCGGCGTGGCGCCATCCTGCTTGGCGTGGTTGACCGCTGCACTGGCTTTAAGAAGCAGCCGGGCGATCCCGACGTGGCCCTCCTGGCATGCGATGCACAGCGGCGAGAAGCCGCCTTCCGTGGCTTGGCTGACGGCCGCACCAGCCTCGAGAAGCAGCCGAGATATCTCGAGGTGGCCCCTGTGGCTCGTGATGTGCATCGGCGCGCAGCCGTCCTCCTCCGCGGCATTACTGACCGCCGCGTTAAACTTGAGGAGCAGCCAGACGCACTCGAGGTGGCCCTCTTGGCACGCAATGTAAAGCGGCGTGCAGCCTTCAGCATCGGCTTGGTTGACCGCCGCGCTCGCCTCGAGGAGCAGCCGCGCGCACTCGGGGTAGGCCCCCTCGCACGCGAGGAAGAGGGCGGTGGCGCCGTCGCCGTCGGCCGCCCCAACGCTCGCGCCGCCTTGAAGCAGCAGCCGCACCGCCTCGGCCTGCCCGTGACGAGCGGCCCAGGTCAGCAGCGTGTCCTGCCTCTCGGTGTCAAGCCGCGCGTCGAGCTGGGCCGTGAGTCTGCTGCCGCGCGTCCGACGCCCGGAGAATAGGGCGCGCAGCGAGGCCGGGTCGCCCTCGGCAAGCCCGGCGAGCAGGGCTGGGCCGATGCGCATTGTTCATTGTCCGTTGGTGACGAGTGAACAGATTTTTAAGAATCTGCGCCCGCCGTCCAAGGGGGAGAAAGAAACCCGATTTCAACTTGGCCTTTCCGAGGGTTTCCTCTCGCACCCTACCTGGTTTCCTTTCCGTGTTTCCTGCTCGTTTCCCTACAACACCCTCTAGTTTCCTCGGGAAACCCCGGGGAAACTCCGTGGAATTCGTCATTTTGGTCTGAGCCGTGTCTGAGGCTGTTTTGGGGCCAAAATCGGCAAAACACCGGGTATTTTGCGGGTATACCTGGAAAACCCCGGTATACCTGGAAAATACCTGGGTATCGTGCCGATTTCCTCAATTTTGCCCCAGATTTTGCCCCAGACCAGCTCTCAGACTCAGGGAAACTCGCGAGTTTCCCGAGGGAAACTCGAGAGAAACAGAATGGAGCACCAAACACCCTCTGGTTTCCCTGGAAACTTCCGGAAACGCAAAGTGCTGGGGACCCTCTGGTTTCCCTCTGGGTTGCCCGCACCTCGGAAAGGCCAAATTTCAACCCCGCTCGCGCCGAGCGAGGTGAGTGGATACATGTACAAAACAAACAGGACGAGCATGACAGGGTCCCCACCTGCATCATTGGTGCCCGCGCCGCCTCTTCTGCGGACGGGCCCACCACCCTTCACGTACGGATCATGTAGTCCCCACACTCGCTGTCGTGGGATTGCTTGTCTGGTGCGAAGTTGTTTTGTTGTTTCCGCGCGCGGTTTTCTTTCGCGACATGCGCATGCGCGTCCAGTCCTCTATCACGCTCCGCCTGCTCTCGCCCCTCCTCGCCGCCGGCGCCTCGCGCTCGCGTCCGCCCCTCCGCGTCGCCTCGCGCGCGTGCCGCTCAGCCGTGGCCGCGTCGGTCGCGGTGCCGCTGCCTCCGCCCGAATCGCCTCCTGCTCCTCCGCCTCCCTCTCCTGGCCGTCAACACCGGCAGGGCACGCTGCCGCCGCCGCCGCCGTTTGCGTACGCCTCGCTGGCGCGCAGTCTCGCCGCCGTCGAAGCGGAGCCCGCACGGCTCGGCAAGGAGGCTCTGATGCGACGGCTGCTTGATGAGGCTTGGGGAGGAGAGGAGCAGCTGCTGGCGTGCGTCGCGCTGACGACGCTGCAACTCGCGCCGGGCGGCCGGCCCGTCAAGCTCGGGCTCGGCAAGGCGCTCCTCCTCGACGCCATCGCCCACGCCGCGGCGCGACATCGGCCCGACACCGCGCCGGAGGAGCACGGCGGCAGCGCGCAGTACGGCGGCGGCGCGCGGCCAGAAGCGCTCGCCGCTCGGCTCAAGGAGCTCGGCGACATCGGTGCGCGGGTCTAGATGCAACGGGGAGGTGGCACGGGCCGCTCACCCCACCCCACCCTTGGCTCCACCAATCGGCGACGTGTCACGCCAAAGCGACCGTGTATACTCGCTCGCTGGTGGCCCGCGCGAGGCGGCGCTGCTCCGTCTCCGCTAGGTACGCTCGCCGCCGAGGCGCTGGCCGAGGCGCGCGGGTCGGACACGCGGTGGGAGGCGCCGCCCGCGAGCGGCGCTGTCGACGTCTCCGAGGTGCTGCGCACGCTGAGGGTGGTGCAGGAGGCGGCGGGCGCCGGCTCACAGGCAAGGAAGACGGAGCTGCTCAACGCGCTGTGAACAGCGTCTCTTCACACCTGCACCGGCTCACAGGCGAGGAAGACGGAGCTGCTCAACGCGCTGTGAACAGCGTCTCTTCACACCTGCACCGGCTCACAGGCGAGGAAGACGGAGCTGCTCGGCGCGCTGTGAACAGCGTCTCTTCACACCTGCAGCTGTGAACAGGCGAGGAAGACGGAGCTGCTCGGCGCGCTGTGAACAGCGTCTCTTCACACCTGCAGCTGTGAACAGGCGAGGAAGACGGAGCTGCTCGGCGCGCTGTGAACAGCGTCTCTTCACACCTGCAGCTGTGAACAGGCGAGGAAGACGGAGCTGCTCTCCGAGCTTCTCTCACGGCTGTCGCTCGGCGAGGCGCAGCTGCTCCTGCGGATGATCGCGGGGAAGCAGCGGACCGGGTTGGGCGACAAGTCGCTCCGGGCGGCCCTCGCGCAGGCGGCGCTGCGCCAAGCGCTGCCCGGACACGACGAGAGCGATCTCGGCCGCGAGATTGGGGCGGCGAGCGCAGAGGCGGCGGCGGCGGCCGCCGAGGCGCTAGGCGGCGGGCCTCCGGCGCGGCTGGCGTCGGCGCTGCGTGCCGCGCGCGAGGCATGCGCGGAGGGAGGCGGCG